ATTTTGCATTTAATCCACAAATCACATGCGTGCCAAACCGTGGGTCCTGGTCCGTACAGTTCACGGATCAACTACGATCCATTCAACCCCTAATTGTCATTCATCTTACTTATACAATGACTAATAAATAAAAGTAGGGATAGGCATATAATACAAAGCCTTAAATCCCATAATCTGCGTTGTCTCAAATATTTCAAAATTTGCAATATTACAACTGTAAGTCCTTTGTGGTATGAATCACCCCATGGAGCTGTTTCTGATTGCTGACTCTGTGACCACAATGTAAGCATTGTGGTCACCCACATGCAGTTTTATGAGAGGTCCATTTTGATTTTAAACAAGAAATCTCTCCTGTTAAACATTACTTGGTGTTATTGGGAAAAATGGTCCAGCTGAGAAAAGAAATGAGAGTCTGTTTATTTTTTTTACTTTTTGATGTGTTAGAAGCCATAATTATGCAACTTATCACAAAAGTTCTGAGATAAAGTTGTGTCCAGATGTGGTCTAGCTGCCTATGTTTAAATATTCATCATATATATCTGTTTTTACATTTTACATCTGTAAAAAAAATTTTTTACTTTTATTTGCTTCTTTGGGGGTGATGCATTGCTAATTCACTTAAATAGTTGCACAGCACTCGAAAATGTCCATGAACGGTTATTCCAGAGGTAGGTTTTCCAACACAGCAGGAAGAAAAAATACTAATTGAGAGTGCACATGTGAAACTAGACAGAGTGTGTGTTTGTGTGTGAAAGTATTAGTAGCATTTCTGATTAGTCTGAGGAGAGTGAGCAGGTCTTGGAAGGAACCTTGGTGCCTGACAGTCTCTCAGAGTGTAGGGCACTGATCTGAAGCATGAGAGGAGCTGTTTGGAGAACCTGGGAGTTTAACAGCAGAATGATAATGTGTAACATATTTTACTAGCTCTTAGTGTAAGAAATTCAGGTCTTCAGCTCACATTCTCATCTTTTACTCATCTCATTAATAAGTGTATCCTAATGAGTTATTCCATGTTTCACTCTGTCCATCACAGTGTATTACTAGCTTCGGAAAATAAACCACTCGAAAGTCACCATGTTTACGAGACACTAATCAAACATGTTGGACTTTGACGCAGATGCTGGGTTAGGCAGAAAATGTTGATACAAGCACAAATCTGTTTTCTATTTTTCCGTAACTCTAACAAAAATTTTGTTTGGGAGTATTATTTGTTGCTGTTAATCATCTTGAGTTTCCACATGTGTGATTATACCTGTTTGGAGTATGTTGAATAGTGTATGAGAATAGTTTTAAAAATTTGACTTACTGAAGACCAGTGTTGGGGAGTAACTAGTTACATGTAATGGGATTACGTAATTGAATTACAAAATAAAAATAATTGTAATCAGTTACAGTTACTGAGAAAAAATGTGTAATTAAATTAGTTACTTATGAAAATGTTAAGGATTACAAAGGGGGTTACATCTGTTTTTTTTCACACACACCCCCACATACAGATTTAATTGATTTCTTTCATAAATTGCAGTGACTGCTCTAAAATATGAAACACCAATGTTTCATGAGTTTAGAACATGCTTATTCGATAACTCGATAATTTCCTATATGAGTTTATGTATAGCTATGCTTCATTTTTTTTTTAAAGATTAACAGTTTTTTTCCCAAGGCATTGTTAGATTCCAGTGTTTACTGTCATAGCTGTGTAAAGATTTGATTTCAAAAACAGTATCATAGATAATAAAATATTTCTTGTTATGATTTTAAATAAGTATTTAACCTCAGAATGATCTCAAAGTAAGTCTGATTTTGTGGTGGCTGTGCTTCAAAAGGGACATTGATCTTCCACAAGTTGATATGATTCTTTAGGGTCTTCATGAAAGACCTCTGTGAAGTTGACCCCCCACCCAACGCAAAATGTCGGCAAAATAGTCGCAATTGTTTGTGCTCCGTTTGTGCTGGTTTGTGCTGTAAAAATTTTCGTTTGTGCTGCTTTGGTTTTTTAGATATTAAAATAATATTTATAGGTCATTCTGAGGTCACTCGGCCCCCCAACATACTCCAAATTCACCCCAAATAGTCTCATTTGTTTGTGCTTCGTTTGTGCTGGTTTGTGCAGGTAAAAGTTTCGTTTGTGCTGCTTCGGTTTTTAAAATATTAGACATTGAATTATGTGCAATGATGTCACCAGCCCCCCACATGCTCCAAATTCACCCAAAACAGGCTCAATCGTTTGTGCTTTGTTTGTGCTGATTTGTACAGGTAAAAGTTTAGTTTGTGCTGCTTCGGTTTTTAAAATATTAGACACTGAATTATAGGCGATGACGTCACTCAGCCCCCCCCACATGCTCCAAATTCATGAAAAATTATCTTGTTTGTTTGTGCTTCATTTGTGCTGGTTTGTGCCGTAAAAAAATTAGTTTGTGCTGCTTCAGTTTTTAAGATATTAAAATAATATTTATTGCTCATTTTCTGAGGTCACTCAGCCCCCCACTGCTCCAAAATTGACCCCAAATAAGTTTGTTTGTTTGTGCTTCGTTTATGCTGGTTTGTGCAGGTAAAAGTTTTGTTTGTGCTGCTTCGGTTTTTAAAATATTAGTAAATGCTGAGGCCCATCCCCACAGTAAAAAGAAAACCAAAAAATGAGGGAGTACCCTTTTCAAATTTTTTTCTGCGGAAAAAAAAATGGAGAGATTGCGCGGGCGCCTCCATATCATATAGTAATACTATAATACTCCGACAAATACTTGGCATGCGCATAGGCTATATAGCGATTTTATTTCATATACAAATAATAATAATAATACCCTGTTTTGGTCATATTTACTATTAATTGCCCAGCTCCCCATCAATGATCTAGCACAGAGACATATAGTTCTAAACTGAATGTGCAAGAGAAGCATTAGCCTACTTCTAATTTGGCCAAAGAAAATCTGTTAAAATCTAAATTTTTCTATATTAATTTGTGCATTTTTTCAATTGTTTATTAAAGGTGCAAAAAGTCATAAAAAAATCTATATTTTACTTTTTCGGGCAGCATTTTGTGTACGGTTCTAATTTCAAATTTGGTTTTCAGGATGGCATTTAAAAATACAACAATCCTTCTTTTTTCATTTTTTTCGTCATGGTAAAAAAGGAAAAATTAATGGATGCAAAAGTATAGGCTACACGGACCTGGAAACAGTAGGCTATTGCATGTTTTATTTGTGCGCAGAAACGAAAATAGGCCTATGTATATCAAGTCTTTATTTTTTTAATGTAAAGACATAATGAAATAGGCCAAGTTTTTTTTTTTTTTCGTTTAATTGGTCTAATTGAACAAATATTGCTACTAACAATTAAGTGACTGCGACTATTTCATGTGATTTGGTTTGCTGTTTCAATTTATTACTTATTACTTCAACTGTATTGTTAAAAAAGACAGTAAAAACAAAAATACCGGTACAAACCAGCACAAACAAACAAGACTATTGGGGTAAATTTGGAGCATGTGGGGGGCATCAAAATTGACATCAAAATTATCATTAAATATTATTTTAATATCTAGAAAACCGAAGCAGCACAAGCAAAACTTTTACCTGCACAAACCAGCACAAATGAAGCACAAACAAAGAAGATTATTTTGGGTGAATTTGGAGCATGTGGGGGGCATCAAAATTGACATCAAAATTATCATTAAATATTATTTTAATATCTTAAAAACCGAAGCAGCACAAACGAAACTTTTACCTGTACATACCAGCACAAACGAAGCACAACCAAACAAACCTATTTGGGGTCAATTTTGGAGCAGTGGGGGGCTGAGTGACCTCAGAAAATGAGCAATAAATATTATTTTAATATCTTAAAAACCGAAGCAGCACAAACTAATTTTTTTACGGCACAAACGAAGCACAAACAAACCAGAACATTTTTTGTGAATTTGGAGCATGTGGGGGGCTGGTGACGTCATCGCATATAATTCAATGTCTAATATTCTAAAAACCGAAGCAGCACAAACAAAACTTTTACCTGCACAAACCAGCACAAACGAAGCACAAACAAATGAGACTATTTGGGGTGAATTTGGAGTATGTTGGGGGGCTGAGTGACCTCAGAATGACCTATAAATATTATTTTAATATCTAAAAAACCAAAGCAGCACAAACGAAAATTTTTACAGCACAAACGGAGCACAAACGATTGAGACTATTTTGCCAACGTTTTGCGTTGGGTGGGGGGCCAACTTCACGGAGGTCTTCATGAACGGTCTGCAACATACTTTGGTTATAATTCCTCAGTGGTCGTGTAAAACCACGCTTTTTACCTTGCTCTGCTCACAGCGACTCATTTTGGGCATTGTCCCTTTAAATGCTAATGAGCTCTGCTCACCCGCCCCTTTCTTCGTGGAAGAGCAAAGGCGATTTGCAAATAATCATAAAAAATATAAAGTGTCAGACTTACTTCTTCTGGAGGTGCAGCTGGATCACGAACACTAGGTACTGATCTAGCCTTGAGTTTTAACTTTTTAACAAAACCTGCCTTGAAAATCAAAACGGCTTGATAATTGAGACTGTTTAGGATTCTGGGGAATTAAAAAAAAATGAGTGAATGGATTTTTAATCATTGTAGGGTGGTTGTGTCCACACACTGTTAAGATACATTTATATGCAAACACCATGTAAAAGTGAATTTTGCATCCAATGTCTTACCCTGCCTAGTTTACATGTTTAAAAATGATAAACAGGTGAAAACATTAAAAATGTAGAAAAGTAATCAAAAGGTAATCAAATGTAATCAGTTACATTACTTTAATAAAGTAATTGAAAAGTTACACTACTTATTACATTTTAAGTAGGGTAACTTGTAATCTGTAACCTATTACATTTCCAAAGTAACCTTCCCAACACTGCTGAAGACATACAGTATATGTTCAATATTAATAGACCATGTTATTGTTATTTGCTGTAATGGCAGTTAATTTGACTCATAAGTCATCTCTTTTCTATGTTTCCATCTTTATGTAGACTCCCATGAACCAGGCTTCTACACGGTCTCACTGCATCTTTACCATTCACCTGTGCAGCAAAGAGCTGGGTTCAGCCATGGTGCGGTGCTCCAAGTTGCACCTGGTGGATCTGGCTGGGTCTGAAAGAGTGGGAAAGTCAGGTGTGGGTGGTCAGATCCTAACAGAAGCAAAATATATTAACCTCTCGCTGCACTACTTGGAGCAGGTCAGAGGACTTTATTTGTTATTTTTTTAAGGTGCACTATGGAATTTTGCCCTCTCTAACCATGTGGTTGAAACATGGAATTCCAAGTCACTTTCAGAAATGTTTTATGTTGTGCTTTCAGCTCTTTTATGCTGATAAATTTGAGGTTTTGAGGTTTATTCATAGTTGCTTTTGATTACCATATCAGTACAGATCAGCACATATATGAAAAATGTAATCTGACTCTGAGCAAGTAGCATATGTGCCACCATAGTAGCCAGACCTTTTCTGTTCTAGAATATAATGTACATATAAACATACAAGGACAAACAGTGTAAACATTAAATTTCCTGCCAAGTCTGATCTAGCGGTTCAAAATATAAATCATTATTTTAAGCTTATAGAGAATTGGGGTAATGCGAGAATGCCGTTTTGAACACAGTTTTTCCATGTACTTGCTCAGTAATGAAATTTTTTTCATTTTTACCCAAATCTCCATAGTGCACTCAAAAATTATGATTTGAAATATATTGAAAAAATAATTTTAATTTAAATAATTTTGAATATAAACCTTTGTTTATATTGATATTACCCTTCTGGATTTTAAAATGAGTTTTAATCATATTACTGAAGCCACAATTTGGTGGGTTTTATTTGCTGTCTGGTTTAGGTCATCATAGCCCTGTCGGAGAAGAATAGATCCCACATCCCTTACCGCAATTCCATGATGACCTCTGTGCTTAGAGACAGTTTGGGTGGTAACTGTATGACCACCATGATCGCTGCTGTGTCTGTGGAGAGGAGGAACACTGATGTACATCTCTTAAACTCAAATTTAAAAAAATTGTGCACAAAAAAATGAATTTGTTTGAAATTTTGACATCACTCTTGCACATCATTCTCTCTCTTTTTGTCAGGAGTCTATATCCACCTGTCGTTTTGCTCAAAGAGTGGCTTTCATTAAGAATGATGCTTTGCTCAATGAAGAACTGGATCCTGCTCTGGTAAGTCTGACATTATCATCTGACTTTATTTCTTTAAAAAATATCCTGTTAAATGTATTTTTTTAAATGGTAGGCAGCTGGTTCCACTCAATCTGGAATTTTGCATAAATGCAAAAAATTTCCCCACGAAATGCAAACAGACAGTGACTTCTGTGTGAGCTGTGCTTCATGCATCAATGTACTATCGACAGTATGCAAAGGACCTTTTTTTGTCTGTGACTACACCTTCAGAGATCGAAAATCATAGACACCCCAAACTTGGCAGGATGCTCAGGCACACAGACACACATCCGACACCAAGTAGCACTATAATAAGGCAATTTAGCTTTTGGATCATAACTCTGGAACCCTAAGGGTTAGAGATAAATTGCCCTGAATCCTTAAGTTAATATCTACAGAATGTAGATCTTCATTTTCATTTATAATATTTTTCAGTAATTTAAAATTTACAAAGAACCCTACTTTTTCGAAGTACTCTTAGGCTCTTCACCAAATTTTGCACATGGTAGCTAGTACTGTTATGTTTCACTGTAAATTCATGGTAACCCATATTCAGGCTTTTAATTTCTTTACAGAATTGCCAGTTAATGCAGCTTAATTACCTTCCACATTTTTAGTTCGTTGCTGCTTGGAATAACAAACAGCTGTTCCAAAAGCATGGGTATATCACCCAACAAAGTTCTAAGAGTGAAACGGTATATTTGAAAAGCTTCAGAAATACCAGCTGCTTAAGTATCTTTTAAAGTATCTGCATCATAACACGCACAGCATTTTGTACTTCCCAAATTCCCCTAGAGATGTTGACTCTTACATTGACACCTACCTTTTGATACTCACCTGCGATTCCACGAACAGTCTCCTAGTCATCACCTTCTCATTCACAAGTCAACTCCAAGTCTCCAAGTTGTCTCCTGGTACTCATTTACATTTAATCATTTAGCAGATGCTTTTATCCAAAGCGACTTGCAAATGAGGCGAACAATAAAAACAATCAGACCAACAAGAGAGCAACAGTATACAAGTGCTGTGACAAGTCTCAGTTAGTCTAGCACAGTACACATAGCAGGGAACAACGCTAAGGATTTTGTGGTTCAAATTTTTACTTGCCCTGCCAACATTTTCACTGGCCCTGCCACAAAAAAATAAAATAGTTGCTGTTATCATTGTTTTTGATCTTATCTTGTATTCTAATAAATAAGCTTATATGACACCATTATTTTAGATACCAATTAGATTTTACAATTCTCTATTTCAATTTTGATACCACAGCTAAAATCACTAGCCAAAAATAAACATAAATATAAAGTCTAAACATTATTAAAGACAAGTGACAGCCAGTAAATAAAAACAAATTTACAAATTACAAGTAATAGCACAATTAAATATAGGCCTATAGCACAAAGATGAATGAAATTATGCTTTAGGTTATGTTTGTAGTATGTTCAGGCAAAGAAATGGAAAAATCACACATAAAATAACATTTGCATATTATTAACTCTGTGTTGCACCTTGATTTTTCATAACCATTTGAAATTAGAAGCAGACACTGCATTTTAATCATGAATTGATCCCAAAAAACCCCCCAAAAAACAATACATGTGCAATGTTTGATTTTTATTAGACTGTATAATTTAAAAATCTGAAGCAAAATCAGAGTGGTCTGACTTTAGCTTTGTGAAATTATGCTACAAAAAACATCTACATGACACAGAAACAGTAGACGGGCTGAATGAGACGCAGATTCACTCTTTGACAGCAGGCGGCGGTTATGGACCAGTGATAGAGCATTTCCTTGGTTACTGCTGTAAACACAGCAGCGCTAATTTAAATGCATTATACGGAGACAAAGAAAACACCATTTCTAAAAACAGCCAGTTCCCCTCAGAAACACATTCATATAAAATTCAGTGTTTGGATTTTCTTCCAATATTTTGCACATCGTGAACAGTGATCTTGCTCTGACTTCTACAGTATGTTCTCCTTTTTGTGTCTGACTTCATAGTCTCTGGCCTCTGTTAACGGCCGTTTACAGACTAATTATAATTAAATAATAACGTAATATTTCCACACAAATGGCATTTGGGACAATTATTGCAGTGCAGTTTGTGTGCAAGCACGGAACAGAAGATAGTCTGAAATATAAAAAAAATGGATGGTCGATCGGGGCATCTATTCTCCACTGTATAAATTAAATATAGATTAATCATTGTTAAAGCTACAAAGTTACTTGCCAAGAGGGGTATTTTGACATACTTTTGTATGTATTTGCCCGTTCAGGGGGCTCATGCGTGTCAGAGATGCGGCTGTCTGTGAGCATGCTGTTCAAAAACAAAGAACAAAGTACGCGAGTACTGAATGTAGTTGTCTTTGCGCACAAATGCTTTTTAATCACTTGAATTTTTTAATTAACAAGGCTTAAAAACACATGCAAATGATAAAATGTCATGACGACGCTGCAGTGGCCCATTGTTGGGCCCTGCATAGCAAGGTGTTTTTTTTTTAATGAGCTAGAGAGAATAGAATAGAATAGAATAGAATAGAATAGAATAGAATAGAATAGAATAGAATAGAATAGAATAGAATAGAATAGAATAGAATAGAATAGAATAGAATAGAATAGAATAGAATAGAATAGAATAGGAGAGAATAGAATAGAATAGAATAGAATAGAATAGAATAGAATAGAATAGAATAGGTAAGTGCTAGTATTAATTGGTCAAGTGCTGGCGAAAAAGATGTGTCTTTAGAAGTTTCTTGAAAATGGCTAAAGACTTTGACGCTCGAATTGTGATAGGCAGGTCGTTTCACTAGCTGGGTACAGTCCAGGAAAACGTCCGTGAGAGTGATTTTGTGTCTGTTTGGGATGGCACCACAAGGCGTCATTCACTTGCAGAAAGCAAGCTTCTGGATGGAGCATAAGTCTGAATTAGCAAGTTTAGGTATATTGGTGCAGCGCCAGTGGTTGTCTTATAGGCAAACATCAATACCTTGAATTTGATGTGAGCAACTATTGGCAGCCAATGCAAACTGATAAAAAGAGGTGTGGCGTGGGCTTTCTTCGGCTTGTTGAAGACCACTCTCACTGCTGCATTCTGAATCAGTTGCAGAGGCTTGATAGGACATGCCAGAAGGCCCGCCAAGAAAGCATTACAATATTCCAGTCTGGAGAGAACAAGAGGTTGGACAAAAAGTTGTGCGGCTTGCTCTTATAGGAAGGGTCTAATCTTCCTAATGTTGTATAAGGCAAATCTGCAGGACCGGGCTGTTGTAGCAGTATGGTCTGTGAAGCTTAACTGATCATCAATCACAACTCTTAAGATTCCTGGCTATCCTGGAAGGGAGTTATGGTTGACGAACATAGCTGTACTGTATAGAGAAGTTGTGATGAAGTGCTGGGTTGGCTGTAACCACGAACAGTTCTGTCTTGAAGGTTGAGCTGAAGGTGATGGTCCTTCATCCACCCTGAAATATCTCTCAGACAGGCTGCAATTTGAACAGCTACTGTTGGATCATCTGGCTGGAATGAGAAGTATAGTTAAGTGTCATCAGCATAGCAGTGATAGGAAAAGCCATTCTTATGAATGACAGATCCTAATGATGACATGTAGATGGAGAAGAGAAGTGGACCAAGCACTGAGCCCTGATGAACCCCAATAGCAAGAAGTGGTGATTTGGAAACCTCACCCCTCCAAGACACCCCGAAGGACCTACCTGAAAGGTAAGGCTTGAACCAATGGAGTGCAGTTCCTGAGATGCCCATCTTCATTTTAACTGTACAAAAGCAGCAGACAGACCCAGCAAGATGACTACTGAGGATTTGGAAGCTGGTCTTGCCAGTCTCAGGGCTTCAGTACCCGAGAGCAGGGCAGTCTCTTTTGCTTTTGAAGCCAGATTGGTTGTTGGTAAACCTCTCTGTGTTCTTCGTCTCGTCTGCTCCACCAGTGTGTATGTGTGCATCATTGTCAAACTGCAAAGATGAGAACTCTGTCATTCCGTATGTTGTTTCCATATTCATCCACTGAAATTTCTTTTCATCTGCATTTGTTGGTATCCTGCTGTCAGTTTGATAAATTGTGTTCATCAGTTCTTCCTCTCTCATCCCTGTATTTGGGTTTACCCTGACAGAAGGCCAGGCCCCAATAGCAACCGAAATGAACCCAGCAGGATTTACCATTCACACCCCTGAAGACATTCTTCTCTCCCTCTCAAAAGATGACCTTCCCCTGGAAGACTATGTGGAGGAGTTCCTTGAGCTTAGCCACCTGGTGTCCTTGAGTGATGGCACCTTAACGACCTGTTTTGGAGTGGGCTGAATGACCACCTGTTCAGTTTGCTGACAGCGGGAGCTACCACCTGCACACTGGTGCAATACATGATGTTTTCTGTGCTGTAACTGAGTGGCTTGCCATTCACTGTAGGCAAGATGGAAGAGGAGGACATCGCCACTTAGCAACAACCTCTCCAGCCCATGTCCACCATCCATTCATCATCCATATTCCCGTGACCCCAGCCACCTCGGAAATCCTCCCTAGTCCTTTCCCATGCACTCACACACCCACCACAAGCCCAGAGTCTGACAAAGTGTGTGAACCAGCCACAATGTGATGGAGCTCAGAAGCTTGAGCCTGAGTCATTGTTTATCACGGAGCCCAAACCTGCACTCTCTACATGTATGGGCTATAAACCAGAGCCCACCACAGACCCGGAGGCTGAGAATCTATGCCCCTGAGCCCTGGTATCTATGTTCTTTCCTGATGGAGTGGTTGGAGTTAGACATCGTGGAGCAGAGTTCCACTCATCTTCCTAACCTTGAAGTCTATTCCCCCCCAAATGAACTCCTTGATTCCCTGAACACCTCCTACTTCCGTGCCTCATCTCCGCTGCTGCTTCCATCTAGCCTCAGGTCTCCATAGCCTTCGCTGGTCCCACCCGGCTTTCAAGTCTCCTCATCTCTGCTGGTTCCACCAAGCCCTAGGTCTCCTTTGTCTCTACTGGTACTG